TTTGTTTTTTTTTTTTTAATTTTTTTTTTCAACGTTTATTTATTTTTGGGACAGAGAGAGACAGAGCATGAACGGGGGAGGGGCAGAGAGAGAGGGAGACACAGAATCGGAAACAGGCTCCAGGTTCTGAGCCATCAGCCCAGAGCCTGACGCGGGGCTCAAACTCACGGACCGCGAGATCGTGACCTGGCCGAAGTCGGACGCTTAACCGACTGCGCCACCCAGGCGCCCCAAGGCAGGTATGTTTTTAACAAGCTCCCCAAGTGATCGTAATGCACATCAATGTTTGAAAGCCCACTATTAACAGTAATGGTCACAGAATCACATTTATTAAATTAACCATCATATTCTTAAAAAAGTCACAGTAAAGCCTAAAAATGTCTTATTTGCTTTGCAAAAAAAGAAAAAAAAAGTGCTCTTAAAAAGAAAATAAGATAATGCTTACTTTTATGAGCTTCAGCGTTTGCAACATAGATGAACCCATCAACAACTTCACACACCTTCTGAATTTGTGGAATTACACTATACCGGCTTCCTTGCTGATCATCTCCTTCATTCTGTAGACTGAACATCTTGTTAACAGCACTTGTATGTTCTTCTCTTGCTCTATCTCTTTCCTTTCTATAAGAAAAATGTAAATATAAAACATAAACAGACACTAAACAAGCACCATCCCCCTAAAGTATTGAAGTCCTGATGCCTCAGGTAGGCCACCAAGTAGGCAGCCTTACCTGGTAGTGGAATATAATATCAGGATGTTGAATTTATGTTGGTTGCTCAACTGAAAACTGACTCCTGATCCAATACCTAAAGAAGAAAATTTCAGTTATCAAAACAAGTCATTAATAAATATAGAAAAACATCAGATTGAAAAAAATTACCCAGTGCAAGCAAAATGAGCAACTAAAAAGTCCATGACAAGTTACACACAGCTTTGGAATAAAATGAAATGTTTATGTTGAAGAAAAGATGCCGTATGCAATTTTCATTTATATGGCAATAAAACTATGGATAAAGAACAAAGAACTGCTAGGCTTAGAGCTTTCCCTTCTGTATCATATCAGTAGCAGCTGCATCATAACAGCTACTATCTCTCCTCAAGATTCATTTACCAATTTTTATGTTTCTCATTAGTCATATACTCCATGTATACATTCAGTGAAATGGCTTTTTTCTCCTTCTGAAAATGTTTTTAAATTGATGGGGAGTCGGGGCACCTGGGTGGCTCAGTTGGTTGAGCGTCTGACTTCGGCTCAGGTCATGATCTCACAGCTCCTGAGTTTGAGCCCCGCGTCAGGCTCTGCTGACAGCTCAGAGCCTGGAGCCTGCTTCAGATTTTGTGTCTCCCTCTCTCTCTGCCCCTAACCCACTCACATTGTCTCGGTCTCTCTCAAAAATAAATAAACATTAAGAAAAAAAAAATTTTTTAAATATATATATATATATACACATATAAATTGATGGGGACTCACCAGTATTACCTCAGAAAATTGAGGAAATATGCAGATAGTGAAATTTGGAATTAGACTTGGGTTATAATCTGCATTTGCCACACATTGTCATATTTTGTAAGCCAAAGTTTTGACATCAAAATAGAGAAATACATACTTCCTAGAGATACTGTAAGCATTAAATGAGACTGTATATGTAAAACTCCTAGCTAAACACTAGCTTCTTACTACCTTTACCTGAATCATTCAACATTGTCATTTGTCCTTCTTTCTTAACATCTTCCCTTCTTTGGATGTGTTAACACTCAGGAGCTGATTCTCCTCTTGCATTATGAAAAGATCACTCTTTCTTCTATGGCTCTATTTCTTTTTGCTATGTAAATGTCCTTTTAGATCTATTTCTCTCCATCCTCACCCCCTCCTTTTAGTCTAAATTATCATACCTATCACCTGGACTTTTGCAATCACTTTTTACCAGTCTCCTACATCCACTTTTGTCCCCTACTGTCCACTCTTCTGACAGCAACTGGAGAGATGGCTTGAAAATGCCTATCTAATTATTTCTCTTTCCTTCAAAGCCATCGCTCTTCAAAAACAACTTAATATAATCTCACGTTTACTTACCTCTTTAGGACAACTCCACCTTTCATATTATCGATCCATGAATTACAGCCAATCTAGTTACTTAAATAAACCCGCCATGCCATCCTATGTCACCATTCCAGGCAACACATAGGTAGAGACCCTCGTGGCTGAGACTGCAAGCATGACCCTAGTCCCCTGGCCACCAGGTCTGGTACACAAATTCCCCAAAGAGATCCCCAAAGAGATCAAAGAAACAAATTCTACTATATCTCTGATTTTTGTTTTTCTCAGTTTAATTTCCAGAGATTACCCTCTCAATACATCTAACCTCAGCCCAGTATGATCTCCATGCTGTTCTGTACCACCTTGCCAATGACCCATCCCTCTATTCTTCTCTGATCTTGTGGCATTTGAGGCATAATTGGATTGGCATTTTCAAAACAAACACTTCTGCTGTTGTCTGAAGAATAAAATTAACATTTCATCATCAGCAAATTTCCCCATATCCCCAACCTCTTCTTAAAGTGTTCCACCTCACAGCCTTATCTGAAACTGGCCTGCCCTAAAATGCTGCTTTTCTTGCAGAAGACTCTCAATTAACAAAATTGCTTATCCTCTCATATCTCAGGACAAAGAGGTGTTCTCTTTACTCCTCACTTCCATGTCCTATTACTCACCAGCTCTCTTTGAAACTTCATCTCTTTTTGGACACACCATTCAGCTGCAGGACCATCTCCCCTTCCTCAGCCTCATCATTTATGATATCCATGACATTTAGGATGTTATTTATTACATTTGACAACCCCTTCCTCTAAACATTCACTGAAGATTTCAGCACCTGGTTCACAATATTCCTCTCTATACTCAAAAACTCTCAAGTCTACACAGACACCCTATGATTTCCCAATCTTGATTTCTAACCCAGATCTTACTCTTAAGATCTGGATGCATAGAGTAATCCACAAAGTCATTTGTTCATTCATTCATCAAATATACATGTTGACAGTCTATTACATGCCTGACAGCCAAGAATAAAGCTAGCCTGCCCTAATGCAGCTTCCACACAAGTGGATTGCTTATAGCGGGCATCTCTACTTATATCTCCCAGAGTTATCAAAGTCAGCATACTCCAAAGAGTGGAGGAGAGTTTCTCCTCCTCCTCCTGTGTTTCCTTATCCTAGTGAATGGCACCATCATCCAATATGAAAACCACATCAGAAATACTGCCAATACATAATCAGTCAACACTGTATCCTTCATACTTTCTTCACATTATAGTGGTTTCTTAATGAGTCTCCACATCTTTATAGCCTCTTCTAATCAATTTTCCACTTAGAAGCCAGATCTTTCTCAAATACAATCTTGATCATCTCGCTCTTCTGCTTAAAATCTTTCGACAGCTCCCAAATGCTTAAGCATGACATACAGGTGTCTTCTCACCTAGCCCCACTGTAGACACACAGAGCTACTTCAAAAGGTCACGGTATCCAGAATTTTGTGCTTTTAGAAATGTAGTGCTCACTGCTCATAATACTTTTACCCTTATTTTAATGGCCTCTTTTAATTCATCTTAATGACTCAAATAAGGCATCATGTTCAACATGGAGCCTTCTTTGACCCTTATCTTTCTACCCAGGAGGCTAATTATACCATACACGAATCACCTTCATACTTGCCTATGCCCTTACCTAAACTAAGTATCTTCAGGACAAAGATTGCTGATGTTTGTTTTAAATCTCTGCACCTTTAGTATCTAATAAGTGCTCTTGATAAATGAATGAGGAAAGCATAAGCTAGATTATATTGTTAGGTATGTTTATTACATCTCCTGCATGCCAACTAACTTATGGTTTTCATAGAAAGAAGAGGAAAGTATTAATTGAGGTCTTTTTAAAAATTACAATATATAGCAAAGTACTTTGCACACAGTAGATGCTGAATGATTTTTGCTGTTAACATTCTTTTAACATATGGTAAATGCTGTACAAACATCTTGATAACATAAATACTGTACAAACATCTTGATAACATATAACTTACTTTCATATAATCTTACATTCTGGATTACACAAACTTGAGAAAATAAAGGAAAGCTCACCTCTTACAAAAAAGTAAATCAATTCTTTCAACCCACTGGGACCAAGGAGGGGGCTCCTATTCACCAAATTACTATTATTTCATTACATCAAAGATGTAATTAATTAAAAAGTAATTTATTATTCAACATAAGTATCAAGTTCAAAGTGCTTTAGTTATTATATACTATAGATTAACATGAAAATTACCATCAATCTGCCTCTGAGGCAAGCCAGCTGTTGGGCAAAGCTCATGAGAAGACATCAAGCTCAACACCAAAGATGTATTCAGTTCTTCCAAACCTGGTCCAAACATAGCAAATCGTGGTTCATTCTGAATGATCAAGGAGTGTAAAAATGACGTGACAGCTCCATACATAGGACGGCTAGATTTCAAGGATCTTCTTGTATATGGACAGCACATTTTATAGCTATATAAAATTGTCACAATTAGAAAATCAGGACAGAAAAAAATCTAGGCAGTTATTCATTCAACAATATATAGTTTATTGAGAACCTGCTAGACACAAGAGATATAATAATTATGTAGTTAGAATCCTCATGGAGGGACATGGAGGGCAGATACCATTATAATATGTATGCTGAATGCCAGACAGGAAAAAACAAAGGCGCTCTGGGAGTAGAAGTGGTCCAGAAGCTGAAAAAGTTTTCCCCAGGAAGTAGTTACTTACTTTCTAATCTTTCATTTAGATTTTTCTCATGGAATACTTGGTCTAACACTTGTTACAGCTGTAAAAAATTCACTACATAGAGTAGTGATTCTCAGCCTTTTTTTGTCATTATAACTCTCAGGCATTTTTGTCATTACAACTGGGGGTCAGCGGGTGGTGCTACTGGTATCTAGTGGACAGAGGTAAAGGATGCTGCTAAACATCCTACAGTGCACAGGACAACTGGTCTAAACACCTGGTCTGAAATGTCAGTAGTGCCAAGACTGAAAAAACCGCACACTAAAGATAAACTACGTGGATAGTTAGCATAAGTATCTCTAGATGTAAAAAAAAAAAAAAAAAGAAAGAAAAAGAAAAAAATCACTAAGTCCACCAATATAACCAAATTTCTTTTTTTTAAATTTTTTTTTCATGCTTATTTTTGAGAGAGAGAGAGAGAGCGCGAGCGAGCATGAGTGGCCCAGGGCAGAGAGAGAGGGATACACAGAATCCAAAGCAGGCTCCAGGGTCTGAGCTGTCAGCACAGAGCCCAACGTGGGGCTTGAACCCATGAAACTTAAGATCGTAACTTGAGCCGAAGTCAGACACTTAACCAACTGAGCCACCCAGGTGCCCCTAACCAAATTTCTTAAGTACTCTTATGAACAGCCTCTAATGGAACAGTTTAAAAAGTGTCACATATACACAGAAGCTCAAATGTTCCATATGGATAACCTAGCCAGCTAAGAATCATGTGAAAAAAACAACTGTTTCTTTCAATAGCTATAAATTTCTAAATTAGCAATTCTACATGTTAGCAAAAATTAAAACATAGTACCCAAATAAAAATAAAACCTAAATCCCTTTAACTAAATCAAGCTGGTTGAGACAGTCACTAACCTAACAAGATAATGATCTTTATTTAGGAACCTTGTAATTCAAGAAGGAAAAGAAAAATCTACTTTGAGGCTAGGCAGATCTAGCCAAATTACCACTTTATTTATATAAGCCACTTATAGTCTAAATTTAAGTTTTTTTCATCTGCATTATTTAAGCAATAACAATTAACCCAGGGTTGTATGGATCAGAAATTGATTTATAGATTTAAGAAACAAAACAAATGAACAAAACAAAAGAGACCAAAAAAAACAAAAACAGACTTAAATACGGAGAACAAACTGGTAGTTGACAGATGAGAGGTTGGTAGGGAGACGAGTGATATAAAAGGTGTTAAGAGTACACATATCAAGATGAGCCCTGAAAAGTGCATAGAATTGTTGAATCATTATATCATACACCTAAAACTAACATAACACTGTATGTTAATTATACTTCAATAAAAAAAAAAAAAACACTTTATATGATCATGAATGGTAGTTACTATGACTATCCCTGGGGAAAATTTGGTTCCACAGCATGATATACTTGGTTGTGGGACAATGTAGAAATAACAACTAGCTAGTGAGAGTACAGTAGCACTTACTGAAATTATATATAACATAACACATACATTTTAATCAAGTAGCTTCACAAGACTTAGCATCTGCATTAGAATAAGGAAAGATATGAATACCTTAAGTATGAAAAAAATACTATAGCTAGTAAAATCTTTACCTAAAACACAAATATCTTTTAATTTTATTTACCATGCCTTAAATGTGGGGCCCTCAATAAAGGAGGTTATATCCAGACCCAATGACATTATATGTTTAATGCAGCATGATAGGATTCCAACCAGAACAGTGTCTTATAAGCTATATGACCTTAGGCAAATCCATAACCATTTTGAACCTCAATTCCACATCCGTAACACAAGGATACTACCTTCTTTATTGCGTGAAAATCACGTTAAGTAAACATACAAAGGGCACCCCTCATAGAATCCAATGCATTACAATTGTTCAAGAACATTAGTTCTCTCAGCTACATGATATTTAAAAGTGTCAGTGCTTTTGGATGATAACAAAATCTTACTTCCCGGAATCTTGAGAATGTTGTTCTTTCCTGCTAAAGAACTGGTCTCTAATTGCTGATCATTCTTTCTTTGGACACAGAAAAGTATTTATCATTTAACAAAATAACAAGTATTCTATAGATAATGAAAATTTTAACAAGTGTTTTACTTCTTGGCATATGAACTATCTACAATTATTCAAATAGTCTAGAGTCAGGGACCATAGGCAAATAACAACATGTGAAAAACGAAAGGGTCCTATGAAGGAAGTCATTTAACTTAATCCTCAATTTAGTGGCAGAGCCAAGACTAATTTACACTACTGGCTTGTAATATAGTCAAATATAGTATCTTCTTTTTAATTCATAAAACTAGATACTCACACTGCCATGTAGTCAAAAAATGCACCATCAGTGACCTCAGATATAGGCTTTTTTAAGATTTCTAGATCTGGAAGAGACTTCCAGTCAACGGAAGACCAAGAAGGAAGATCCCGCAGCAGAAAATATCTCCACAGAATTGGATCTCGTACAGTTTCATTCCAATAATGGCTGGTACTTCCCAACTGACACAGATCATGAGGTGAAAGAAATGACAAAATATATAGCTGTACGTCAATCTGAAATGGAAACAGCAAACAGGTAAAAGGCATGAAAAATGTATCTTGGAAAATTGTTTTCTGATAATAAATTATAAAATTTATTTTATTATACTAGGAAACCAAAGGTCAACCAAAGAGTTTGTCTTTTTAATGATTATATCATGATAAATTACAAAACTTGTAAAGAATTATACTAGATAACCAAAGATCGGTGTGTCAGTATTCTTAATAATGAAATCTACTATTTGGAAGTTAATTTCCTGCCACCAAAAGAGAAACGTAACTGAACACTTAATTTTTGACACACCGAAACATTCATTTTTCAAGCAAAATAACCAGATTCTTAATTTCTCACGGATATTTTGTCACACCGTTCACTTGAACAAACTACTTAAGGAAATAATCTAGCCTTCAACATAAAATCTTTATGAAACTGACAAACTTCTGATCTTGTCATTAGAGCAAATCAAAGAATAAATCTGTCATCTGAGTTCCTCCATAAAATCTATTATTTCCAAGAACCTCTATAAAAGGGAGACCCTTGGAGGCATTCTAAGCCTGCAGTTTTCAATTTCTGATAGATGTCACAGGCAGGTGTCAAGAGTTCAGCCGAGATACAGAGTTTAATAATTTCGAAGAAATTTTTCGTTTCTCCATTTTCCCATCTGCCTGAAGAGTTTAACAATAAATGAGGTGTATAATTCTTGTGGCCTGTCGCCCCTCGAGGCGCCTGTAACTTCTTCTCAATGAAGTGTGAGGGTCGGTGCTTGAAACGCGCGGTGGGAGAAGAGCCACAGCGTCATAGCCGAATGTTTCCGGGGGTGGGGGGGTCCCCCAGGGGTTCTGGACCCTGAACCTGAGGTGAGAGCCGCTGAGAACACAGTCGCTGAAGGCTTCCCCAGGCTACCCACAAAGTCTGGCGTGGTCTCCTCTTTTCCTGAATGACGTCAGGACGTTCCAGTACCAAAACTCGCTTTGGGGGGTTGAAGACGTGAGGATGACCCGGCCGGTTAGCGGGGCGCCCCCACTGCGGTGAGTTCCGCCGCGACCATCGGTCCCGCGGCGGAGGACCAAAGGTCAACGCCTCGGCGTCTCTGCTCTACCGTTATTCCCTGGTGACGACACGGCCCGGAATGGCTGCAGGACGGGACAGACCCATGCCCGGGCGCGGCGAGGCCCCCAAGGCCGCCCGAGCGGGGCGCCCCTCCCGGCCCGGCCCCGCGGTCCTCCGCGTCCGGTGGCCGCCACTCACCGGCAGCCGCGTCAGGGTACTGGCCTCCTCGTCCGCCTCCTCTTGGGAGGCCCTCGGCGCTGCCTTCTCCTTGCCCACCGACTGCCAGAAGTTCCTCCAGCCGCTGAGGATGGCGGCCTCCAGCCGGCTCCAGTCGCTGTGGTGCGGCGGCGGGGCGCTGCCTCCGCTGCGGGGCTCGCTTCCCGCCATGGCCGCCGACGCCGCACGTGACGCGCCGCAGGGTCACGCGCTGCGCGTCCTCCACCGGGCGGCTCGCCACCCCCGCCCCGCACCTCCCGTCTCGCCCCTGCCACGTCTCCCCGCGGGCAGCCTCCGCACCCGGAAGGGAATCGAGATGTGGCCCAGTGAGGTGCCGTCTCGAGTGGAGCCCGAAGCACCTCTCACTGCCCCATTAACTTCAGACCTCAGCCTTGCTAACCTCACTCGGTCCCATGAAATCTCTCGGCCCTTTGTAACTTGGTTATTTCACCCAAAGACGTTCTGTCTGGGACCCGTTTACACTTCATCTGGGCCTAGGTGATCCCTATTTATTCAATAGATTGCCCTCCTCCGCTGTCTTAGGCATAATAACCAGTTGCTTCCTTCTCAGCACTGCCGTGCCAGGCGTGGAGGTTTTTTCTAATTGTTTTTCAGTCTCCGATTTACTGTTTGTGTTCTTGGGGATTGGCAGAAGTGAGAGTAGAGAGGTGGCCAGGGGCCTAATCATGAAAGACCTTATGCCAAGGTGAGGAGTCTGTATTCTCTACTTAAAAATATAGGTACATTTAAAAATTGCTGAAGGTAGGCATCTCACAAAAGGGCAGCAACATAGGGCCAGAATAAGAGAAGCCAGATACAGTACTGGTGAAATCCTGCTAGTGTTGTTGTTTTTTTTATCTGTAAAACAGTTATCCATTTTACTCACCTTGTCCAGCCTTACTTTGAAAGGGCTTTAAGAAACTATGCCATAGGCCACATTACAAGGTAATAAACAACAAAAATTCAACTGAGTGATTTAAAAGATCAAATTGTCTTTATTGCCCAATTCATGAATATGGAAGCATCCCATCTAGCAAAAAGAAAGGAGCTCTCTTGAGCTGCAGGAAAAGGAAGGTTTTTAAAAGGCAGAAGTGGGGCGGTGGTGGTGCCCGGCTGGCTGAGTCAGTGGAGCATGAGACCCTCGATCTTGGGTGTAGAGAATAAACAAAAATCATTAAAGGCAAAAAAAAAAAAAAAAAAAAAAAGGAAATTATTGGCAAAAAGTACACTGTTGTAGAGTCACAACACTGTTGTAAGGTCACCCTCCTAAGGGGAATGGAAGAGGTCTATCAGTAAATTTCCTAGTGCTGACCAGGGATTCCTTGTTGACTGGTTAAAGGTTACATTCCTCAGGTGGCTGAAACTGCAGGTAGGTTAGGTATTATGGTTTTGGTTTGCTGAAGTGGGGCCCTTAAAATAAGAGATTCCATCTGGGGCCTGTGGTTTTCTTTTCAACGAGTAACCTATTATATTGAACTGACTATGGTCTCTATTGATAAGGACACAAATAACTACTGTGTCATTCATTTTCAAATAGATTACTTCAATCTAATCCAAAAAATACTTTGCTCAAAAGCTAGATCTCGGTTCCTTAAAGGATTATTTCAATCTAAAGTAATAAATACATAATTTTAAGACTCTAGGACAGAGCACGAGTGGGGGAGGACCAGAGAGAGAGGGAGACAGAATCCAAAGCAGGTCCCAGGCTCTGAGCTGTCAGCACAGAGCCCGACGCAGGGCTCGAACCCACTAACAGTGAGATCATAACCTGGGCTTGAACCCATTAACGGTGAGATCATAACCTGAGCTGAAGCCAGGCGCTCAACTGACTGAGCCACACAGGCACCCCATGGGTTATAATTTTTTAATTGTGAAAATTATTAGAGTTAATGTAATCCCATGTGTCCACTAGCTGATTCAAGTTACCAGTTTATCTTGCTCCATCACTGTCTCCACCCAACGCACACATCCCCAAATCGAGATTATTCTTAAGCAAATCCCAGATATATCATTTCATCCCTAAATATCTCAGTATATGTCTCTAAAAATTAAGGTAACTTTTAAGAAACATTGTACCATTACCACTGTACCATTATCACCTAACTTTCTTTAAAATCACCAAATACTTGGGCAGGGCTTAACTTCCTCACCTGCCTCAAATATATATACTTATTTAATTTATATTTTGCAATTGGCTTTTTTAAATCATGACCCAAACAAGATCCACATGTGACATTTGGTAGACATGTTCCTAAAACTTGTTCATTCTATAGGTTCCCTCTCCTTTATTTTTCCTGGCAACTGTTAAAAGAAACGAGGTTGGTCTTTCTGGACTTCAGGACATTCTGGACTTTCTTGGAAGGCATGATCAAATTTAGATAGGTTTTATAAAATATTTCTAAGTGGTATTGTGTACTCAAATTGTCATTCTCATTTTCTAATGTTCAAACTGATCAATGGTTTCTAAATTCTGATCCATTTATTATCAAGTTCATCATAAGCTTTTCATCTCAAGGATTTAGGAGTTATCAATGATTATTATTTACAAGTTTTAAAGTATTACTATTCTGGGGCGCCTGGGTGGCGCAGTCGGTTAAGCGTCCGACTTCAGCCAGGTCACGATCTCGCGGTCCGTGAGTTCGAGCCCCGCGTCAGGCTCTGGGCTGATGGCTCAGAGCCTGGAGCCTGTTTCCGATTTTCTGTCTCCCTCTCTCTCTGACCCTCCCCCGTTCATGCTCTGTCTCTCCCTGTCCCAAAAATAAATAAACGTTGAAAAAAAAAATTAAAAAAAAAAAAAGTATTACTATTCTAATTTTATGATCTCTTTGATTAGATGATTAAATAAAAGTTGTCCCTCATCAACCATTTGATTGTCCCGCCCATGATATAGACTCAGCCTTATCTCCAGGGAGCTGTGGTTGTTTTTTTTTGTTTGTTTGTTTTGTTTTTTAAGTTTAGTTATATATGGGGTTGGGGGAGAGGCAGAGAGAGAGGGAGAGATTGAATCCCAAGGGGCTCAAACTCACAAACTGTGAGATCATTACCTGAGCTGAAAGCAAAAGTCAAATGCTTAACCAACAGGGCCACCCAAGTGCCCCAGAGCCCTGGTTCATTTTAATGGGAAATGGTATTTGGACATTATTTGGTGGTCTTTATGTAGAGAAAATAAGAGTTCATGCTGTTAATTTCTATTCAACTTCAGAATTACAGAATTTTTACTTACCTTCTTTGATTCCAATTTAGTCTCTTTTCCCTTACACTGAAAATCCACATTTCTAATGATATCAGCAGAGTTATTAATACTATAATTACTGAGGAGTTTGATTTCTTCACAGCCCTTGGGGATATCCACTAGGGGAATGCAAATTATTGTTCTTTAAAAATAATTGAAATATTCCTGTGTAGTTAAGCCACCAACTTGAAGCACAATACAGCTCACTTGTTGTATTTTGCTTTGGAATTTTAGGAGTTGCTTTTAATTTTGATGTAATCTTGCTTTGTAAAAATGTAGTACATGCTCCAAAGTCAAATGTACAAAACTTAAGGTATATTCAGAGAAGTCTAGCTTCCATCCTGGTCCCCTCCATCTGGTACCTCTCTCCATACCTCCCACCAGAAGTACTTTTTTTTTTTTTTAATTTTTAAATTAAAAAAAATGTATATATATATATGTATACATATATGTATGTATACATATATGTATACATACATATGTATATAATGTATATATATAATGTATATATAATATACATACATATAAGCAAACAAGGTTATACACACATTTATTCCCTTTCTTAAATAGTACTATATACTCTTTTCCACCTTGTTTTTCACTTCAGATGACTCCATAGCATTATACAGAAATATTTGCTTTTGCTTCTTATAGCTACATACCATTCAATCATGTGGATTTCCCAGCTTAATCTATTTTTTAAACAGGATATTAAGGATATTAGATGACTAGTATTTCATTAAATGCCTCTGACTTGTCAGTTCAGTGTGACCTAAAGGTACTAGAAGCCAAGTCAATCAAGCTGATAGGTAAATGTTGATGTTGGTATACAGGGATATATATATACATTGTGAGACTGGGGCTGAAAAATTTCTGAAAATTGTAGGTTTCCTTCTAGCCATATCTAAAACAAACATTTGTCTATCTAGCCAGTAATTTCTTCTCTGAAACTTGCTTTCCATTTAGAAAGGTCAGCACAACTTGAACTGACAAGGCAGTGAGTGAGTGCTCACTGGCCAGAACAAGAGTTTGTCTCTCAATTATCCTGGCTGATAAGTATATTTTCAGCACGATGAACTGATACACAAAACTAGACTTAAAGAAAATAATAAAAACTAGTCTTTTGAGCTCTTAGGATGTGCTAAGCATTAAACTAAGCAACTTCGAACATTAATTCATTTAATCCCTAATAACCTGTGATGTAGGTACTAATAGTGCTCCTTTGTTAAATAATAGGATATTAAGGTACAGAAAGTTTAAGTAATTTATGTGAAGCCACAAAGCTAGGACACAACAGGGCTAATATTTAACTTCAGATCTCTGGCTCCAGAGCCCATATTCCTAACCAGTATACTATACTGTATGAAATTTATTAGAACCATAAGAAATAATGTTCAGATGTCAAAGTAAACTGAGACAATGAAAGTTTTCATTCTGATACAACACTCAGATATAAAAGAAAATAAAGACCAAGATACAAATATGGGAATATGGTTTTATTAAAAAAAAAATTATATGCTCCAAAACATTTTACTTGGAAATCTTCACTACAAGTAAGAGAACAAAAAACAATAAAGAACTTCAGCATGAATACATATCACATACTTATTTATGGATATAGTAAATGCATTTTAATACAATACTTCCTAACATGTTATCTCATACTGTGTTAAAAATAATACAAGGAAGTGACACTAGAGAACTACAGAATCCTGGATTCTGTTGCAGATAAGGTATCCTTATTAGAGCCAAAAAAGGAGCCCTCGTAGGTGGCAAGAGAAAAGTGGCAAGCCATCCAAAACTAGCATGTTATCCAGTTGTGTGTTTTTAAGAATGCCATTAAAATGAAGCTGAGAATACGTTTAGATACAGTTCCCACTTCAAAGAACATCACAGAACCCACAGTGGGAGGGTAAAGATAGGAATGTAATTTTATTGTGGAGTTTTAGCCACAACCCTCACTCACTTCACTCTACTGTATGCAAAGGCATGAGGGAAAGTCTTGTCATGATTTGAAACTTAATCAGCATCAAACAATTCATAATAGCCAGGAACCCTATAAATGCCACAAAGCAGATAGGCCTTTAAGTTTCAAAGCTTACTTTGAACATAAAAAATTAACATAAAAAAATTCACACTGCAAAAGAAACACACAAATTTAAGGATTATAAAAAAAAAAAAATCCTTTAACAGTTTTAGTAACAATCAGAGAACTCAAAATGGAGAGAAACCCCCCATGTAATAACACAACAAGGCCTTTAGGTTCTCACTCACTCATTAGTAAAGCCCACACTGGAAAACGTCTTAAATGTAATCAAAGGAAAAAGGTCTTATGTAGTGACTGACTCATTCCTTAATTCTGTATCAGAACTTCCATAAGAAAGAAACTTTATGGATGTACTGAATGTGCAGCAAGGCATTTAACCAAAGGGAGAGAATTTGAAGACGCTAATGCTAAAGTAGATAGGCATGCCTTCCCAACCACCATACATAAAACAGCACTCCTCTCCAGAGTCACACAAGCCCTTTACCCTGCTTTATTCTTCATAGCACTAACCACTTAACACACGATACATTTATTTCTTAAAATGTGTTAACTTCCTCCACTGGAATATAAACCCCCAAAAATGATGTTTTACAAAGCTATATCATCAATGCCTAAGATGAAACCTGGGATGTAGTAGGCACATAATAATTGTTGATGAGGGAATTATAGTGCCTTGCTGATGTAGAGTGTTTGTTATCTTGAAGATACTTCACTTAAATGAAATAAAATTTACTTAGGTTTAACACATACATACAAAAATCTGTTGTTCATTGTTTTGTAATACACCCTAGTAAAAAGCACTGTGAGTGTTATGGTCTACAGATCATTCTCCAATTATGTGGGGGATGGAAAAGTTGTACAAAAAGCACCCAGTAGCACCCTCATAACTACACCAGCCAGTGAGAGACCCAAGTGGTTCCCAAGGGTCGTAAAGGCGAAATGGAAGTTCCCATTTATGAAGAGAAAGTTATGGTTTTCTCAGGTTCCAAATCTACATAATACTTTACTTCTCTGAGAACTAATTTCTTATTTGCCTTATTAACCACTGGTGTAGAGGGCATGGCAGTTTGGAATCCAATAGCAGCAACCCTTTTGTGCAGAGTTCAGCACTTAAGAACCGTGTCTCTTATTAATTAAAAAAAAAAAAAGGCAAAAAACCCCATAAAACAAAACCAAAAAACATTACTAAGGGCCTACCATTCATTAAGCACAATGTATTAAGATACATTTTTTAAATATGGAGTTCACCAGCACATAAGGAAAAGAACTATAAAGCAGTGTTACCTGTTTGATAACATGGGAAGGAACATTAAGGGAGCAGAAGCAAAGGAACATTTGACTGAAAAGGGCTGAAAAAACCTTATGGATCCAGTATCACTGGAGCTGAGTCCTAAAGCACAAGTATTCACCTGGCCACAAAGAAGGGCAAAGCATTCCCGGCAGAAGTAATGAGATCTGCAGAGTACTGAGGGGAGCCCAATGGGAAAGGAACTGAAGTATTTGCAATTGATCATCATGCTCCAAAAGGCGGGGGTAAGGGGGCGTGTGGTTCTAAAACCATACTAAAAATGATCTAAATTTTTATACTTAGAAAGCACAAAGGTATTTTTGTAGTAAAACTGGTTAAAAAGCTATATTAAATAAAAATCTCTGTTGCGTAAGGATAAGCAAGGAGACAGGGGCAGGGATAGGGAGAGATTTTCCTTATACCAAGATGTTCTATCAGAATGTTTACCAAAAAGCAGCCTGGGTTGTAAATGCTGAGGAACACTGAACTAGAACATGATAACATGGGATGCACTGCAGAGAGAAAACTGGGGAGGTAGACAGAAACTAGATTGTGGCATTCTTTGTTGCCTTGCTCTGTGAAAGACCAAAAAAAAGAAAAAAAGAAAAAAGAAAAAAGAAAGAAAGAAAAAACATGAACCAAAAAGGATTTTAAACAAAAGATCAAAAGATGAGGGTTAGTTGTTTGGACATAATGAATTACCAAAATTGTGTGAGTGAAGATATTTAATAGGCAGTTAGAAAGAAGGCTCAGAGAGCAGGAGAAGCTGGGATTTGAGTCGCAAGTCTAGAAGTCAGCCTAACATTATAGCTGTCACAAGCAGCCAGGGCTATGAATGACATCACCTAAGAGTATTTAAAGTTAAAAAAAAAAAAAGGAGCGAGAGTGAGATTGGGAGGGAGGGGGAGAAGGAAAGGGGGGGGAGGGGAAAAAGAAAACAGACCTTGAGGGAAGAGCAATATCTAAGGGGCAAGCAGAAAAAAAAAGAAGCTCCAGGGGAAATGAGGAGAGGTGGAGATCAGCTTTAGACAGGAAGCAGGTGGCCTCTTTTCTTCTAAAAACGGGGAAAATGAGTACGGCAAAGCCGGGAAATAGAAATTAAACTCCTCATAGTCTGAATTTTCTGTAAGAGCGGACCAAGCGCCATATGCTAAGGGAGGAGATAGAGGACATGAAAAAAGTAGTGAGGTTTAGATTAGCCACCAAGAGAAAAGTAGAGGAGCCACAGCAGGAACAAACAAGAGGCTTATACTGAGGGCTCTCCTAAAGTCGAAGGTGAGACACTCATAGGGATTACACCTTGAAGGGTTACATGAACTTCACATGGGACACAGCATTCCAGAAAAGGTGGGTGACAGGATAAATTCAATGGTGAGATGTGCAGAATGGTTACACTGAAGGACAAGAGGACAACGGACTTGAAGGGGCTGTGGAGAGCACTTCAACTGGTGACCCTTATAAAGCTGAAGCTGGAGGAAAGGAAGAAAATCTGAAACAGGCTGATGGTTTAGGAGAAAAAGGAACAGTCAAGAGGAGAAGGCTGTAAAGAAGCTAGAGATAGAATAGAAATACAGGGGGGCACCTGGGTGGCTCAGTCAGTTAAGCATCCGACTTCAGTTCAGGTCACGATCTCGGGGTCCGTGGGTTCGAGTCCCACATCTGGCTCTGGGCTGATGGCTCAGAGCCTGGAGCCTGCTTCTGATTCTGTGTCTCCCTCTCTCTCTGCCCCTCCCCCGTTCATGCTCTGTCTCTCAAATAAATAAACGTTAAAAAAAAATTAAAAAAAAAAGAATAGAAACACAGGGAAAGAAAAATCAACAAAAATGAGGAAGTGAAAAAGCTGGAAAGATAGGAATTGTTATCGGTTACTGCAATTTAAGATTTCAGAAAGAGAACACAAGATGGTGATTTTCATTCAAGGTGTAGCCATGGGAGTAAGCTCCTGGAATGTGATGAAGTCACTGGCACAGAAGTCAAGGATATCAGCAAGGTATTAGACAGATTATCCCAAGATGACAAGAGGAGTTGAGGTAGACAGAAATACCGTAAGCAAGATAGAAAGTTAGGTTCTCTGGCCATCTCTATTATTAAAGACAAAAATATTAAAATTTCAATACATCCAAAAAGGTGTGCTCTAAACACATATGAGCTAATGATGGACTAACCTAAATTGGTTTCACCTTCATTACTCATTTGATAAGCCATCCATTTTCTTTTAACAAAACAGGAAAATCATTTGAAAATGGTTATATAATGCCCAATAGCATAAAAATTTTTAATTCTATTAGTAATACATGGTGAAAAAAAATCAAACAATTCTCTTGTGGCATTGCATTATTTATCTTATTCTGGAAATGGGAGTCTAAATACTGTAATCTTCTACTTTGCCCATTTTTTATCCATCTAAAGCAATGAGGTGACTTGATTTTAATCGCTGAAGCGTAGCTTCAAGATAGACCTAAAAATAATCTGAAGATACTTAAAGTGGTCAATTTTATGTCACAATATTAAAAAAAGAAACCTAAAGTAATAAAAAAATTCTAAAAAGCTAAACTGGATTACTACTTAGTATTAGTTACAGGATGGCTGAATTAAAATTACATGCCATCTTAGAAATTAAAGAATTGTTCCTTCATAGATTTAAAAATATGTAATGAAAGATGGCGATGGCATTTAAAAATAGGTAACCCTGCTGGTTATCTTTACATAGTGTAACATTCTTAAGCTCAGTGTCAATATGTCTTCTTTTCTGGAACTTTTTCCATTTCACGGGTTGTTTTGTTCTTCTGTTTCAAAAAGAATAGCTGAACTTACTGGTTGGTATGATGCTGAAAGAAGTTTAAAATTTGTTTTGCATTTGCTGTATTCCATTCTTGTTCTTTCAGGGGTCCTTCGCACACAGATACATACTTTTTCAAAATTTTTTCTCCTACTTCTCGGAAATCCAAGGGTTCTTTCTGTGTCGTGTAGCTTGCTCCGGAAACACCACCATCCACTTCATGATTTTCTGGCTGTTGATCTGCACAATGCTTCAATCCCCAGTAACACATTTCTCCGCTGTACATCATAGCCAGCAAATGAATGTCACTAAATATTCCTGGGAAAATCATTTAGGTTGAGAGATTAGAATTTAAATATTTAAAAAGAAACCTTGGTTATTAAAACTCTAATAAATTCCTTTTATGTCATTAAGTGTTTTTCCTTCTCATTTCAGTTACACTAGAAAAGCCAAATGATCACTAATATAATCCTCATTTAATTGGCATTTCTATCTCTATTTTACCTATAAAAGAGGTCCATCACTCCCAACCCCCCAAAAAACAGTTTGTCAGAGATTTTTTTTAAAGAATCATTTAGGTCACTGTGTTCTTAAGTTCTAAAGTTGGGTAAATTATCACTAAGATCTGGCCACAAAAATATTTTGAATTCATGTAGAACTTTTAAAATTAATATTAAGGATTATTCAGAATTATGTTTAATATTGGCTAATAAAATATTAAAAAATAATTAGATGGGAATGCAAGCTGGTGCAGCCATTCTGGAAAACAGTATGGAGGTTCCTCAAAAAACTAAAAATAGAACTACCCTACGACCCAGCAATTACACTACTAGGCATTTATCCAAGGGATACAGGTGTGCTGTTTTGAAGGGACACATGCACCCCCATGATTATAGCAGCACTATCAACAATAGCCAAAGTATGGAAAGAGCCCAAATGTCCATCAATGGATGAATGGATAAAGAAGATGTGGTATATATATATACAATGGAGTATTACTCGGCAATCAAAAAGAATGAAATCTTGCCATTGTAACTACATGGATGGAACTAAAGGGTATTATGCTAAGCGAAATTAGAGAAAGAAAAATCATATGACTTCACTCATATGAGGACTTTAAGAGACAAAACAGATGAACATAAGGGAAGGGAAACAAAAATAATATAAAAACAGGGAGGGGGACAAAACAGAAGAGACTCATAAATACGGAGAACAAACTGAGGGGTTGTGGGAGGGGGGGATGAGCTAAATGGGTAAGGGGCACTAAGGAATCTACTCCTGAAATCACTGTTGCACCATATGCTAACCAATTTGGATGCAATTTTTTTTTATTTAAAATAAATAAATAAATAAATAGCCCCTGGGTGGCTAGTCAGTTAAGCATCTGACTTCAGCTCACATCATGATCTCCCAGTCCATGAGTTCGAGCCCTGCATCAGGCCCTGTGCTGACAGCTCAGAGCCTGGAGCCCACTTTGGATTCTGTGTCTCCCTCTCTCTCTGTCCCTACCCTGCTCGTGCTTTGTCTCTCTCTGTCTCAAAAATAAATAAACATTAAAAAATTAAAAAGAATAAATAAATAGGGGCGCCTGGGTGGCGCAGTTGGTTAAGCGTTCGACTTCAGCCAGGTCACGATCTCGCGGTCCGTGAGTTCGAGCCCCGTGTCAGACTCTGGGCTGATGGCTCGGAGCCTGGAGACTGTTTCCGATTCTGTGTCTCCCTCTCTCTCTGCCCCTCCCCCGTTCATGCTCTGTCTCTCTCTGTCCCAAAAATAAATAAATGTTGAAAAAATAAATTAATTAATTAATTAATTAAATAAAATAAAAATCTCTAAGATCCTTCCTAAATCTAAAATAAAATTTTCACACTTACAGAATACTAAGAACTAATTTTCAAAACCATACTATGTATAAAAATATACAGATTTAAGTATACAAAAACTATCATGTCAAAACACTTACATTGTTTTCATTTTTGAATAAATGTTTTTTTTTTTAATTTTTTTTTCAACGTTTATTTATTTTGGGGACAGAGAGAGACAGAGCATGAACGGGGAAGGGGCTATGTGACCTTCAACACATCTTCTGGCTTATCATGACATCAGTTCCTCCACTTATAAAGAGATGGCAAAAATAAGTGGTTCTTCCCTCCTACACCTCAGTCTAAAACCCAAATGATGCTCTATATCCAGTTCCTAATATTTTCAGGTGGATAGATATGACAGGAACTAACATTTGCCACCTAGTATTTATTCTTCCCTTCTTTCTTAGTTAAGAGACAATTTTACTTGGGATGGCAATGTATCAGGTGAAGGGCTATACTGTAATCCCAGGTTCCCTTGTACCTGTTTGAAGCCATGTGATTAAATTATTGCCAGTGAAATGTAGGTGGAAGTTTTAAGTGTCAGGAACTTTTAAGAAGGTTATTCCAAAGGAGCAGTGTTGACTGAAAGAAACATCTTTTTGCCATTCCTATAGACTGAAACACAGGTGAGACGAAAAGACCTCCAGAAGCATGTTGAGACAGAGAATGCAATATCCTCAACAGAGGTGCATGTTGCACAACTCTGGGAAGTACTATTTACATGTATTCTGTATAAATGCCTCCCTCTGAAGCTGTAAGGCTGTAGTTCTGAAGATGATGGAGGAAAAAGGTAGGATCCTGATAGGAATCACCATAATCAGCTCTGGTTTTGGTTGTTGTTTTTTTTTCTCAGTGTTTATTTATTTTTGAGAGAGAGTGCGAGTGAGGGAAGGGCAGAGACAGAGAGAGAGACACACAGAATCTGACGCAGGCTCCAGGCTCCAAGTTGAGCTGTCAGCACAGAACCTGACATGGGGCTTGAACCCAGGAACCGCGAGATCATGACCTGAGCAGAAGTCGGACGTTCAACTGACTAAGCCACCCATGTGCCCTGTAAGACCATTTTTATGTGAAAGAGCAGTAAATTTCTACTTGTTTAGAAGTTACTTCCGGGGCACCTGGGTGGCTCAGTTGGATAGGATCCAACTCTTGATTCAGGCTCAGGTCATGATTTCAAGGTTTGTGAGTTCGAGGCCCAAGTCGGGCTCTAGGCTGACAGTGCAGAGTCTGCTTAGGATTCTCTCTCTCCCATTCTCTCTGCCCCTCCCCAGCTGCGTGCATGGCTCTCTCTATCTCTCTCTCAAAATAAATAAACTTAAAAAAAGTTATTTCCAGTCTGTTTCAAGTAGCCGAATCTAGTGCCTAATTGGGCTAATTGGGGATATGAAATAAAAGCAGCATGATATATAATTCTTTCAAAGTTACTATAAAGGGAATAGCAGTATTTTTTATTTTTTACATGAGAAGATATTTAAAAGCCCTTTTATTATTTTTTGGCATATAATGTATCTTGAAATTCATTTAAATCAGAGTAAAGTCTAGTAAACGTAAAAATTAAGAAAAAAAAACCTTTAAAACAGGAAACTGCAAAAAGAGATCACATTACCTTCACTCAGTAATTTAGCTGTGTCTAAGTCTTGGAAAGAAACTCCTTCATTTAACTGGATAGGACACCGGTAATTTAGCATCTGTAGCAAGTAACTGATTCCATCAATAAGATACTAAATGAAAATCAAAGCCAAAGAATTATAAGTATTATATGAAGAACGGTAGAAACCTCAAACGTTAATTTCCCCCCATTCTTTACTTAAGAGAAAATTGACTAGTTTGTAAATGTATCTTGTGGTTATTATATCACAATGGTAGAAGGACCCACCCCATCCCAAAACTTTTATAAATACAACCTTCCAAATGCTCCAATTAGCAAAAGAGTATGGGAGATAAAAAAAGAAAGAACTAACCAAGAACACATGACTCAGTAATATATTTGTCAAAGATGTTAACAGAGGAAGAAAAAGATAAAATAACAATTAATTGTTCAAAAACAATTTATTAAAACATGTGCTTGTTATAATTTAAGAAATACTATGAACAAAATTTTACATCAAGGGTAACCTCTCATTTCTAGGCCCGCATAAACTATGTATACAACCAACTCAAGTTTGAATTCTTAGTAAAACAATCTAAGACAGGTTCTATGGATTTACAGATTTGGTCAGAAGAGTCAAGACGAATCAGAGGGCTACAGTGTTCTACAGTAGGGTCACGAGGTTCTTTATGAGTTATCTGCTGACAGAGAGAGGGTCACAGCCAAGTTTGTTTCCTTCAGGCCATAAATATGCTTAGAAATTAATACAGACAGTCTATATTCTATTTAAAAAAAAAAATCCCAAACTTAAAAACAGCACGTAAACTTCCCAGTTTACAAAGGCTTTCACATGTTATCTTATTTAATCTTCACAATAATTCCCATATGCTTAAGAATACATAGCTAGTAAGTTGAAACCTGGAGTGCAAACCCAGACCCTTTGATTCCACTACTCTTCGTACTACACCAATGACAGCTTTTTGAAACCTGTAAAGTCAACAGTCTAAAATGTATAAGGAACACCTTTTTACCTTTTTAAGCAAACTGGATTTTCTTGTGAGCCACTCTCTCCTTTTGGTCAGAGAATGACAATACATATAGAGTAGAGCACCTCTTCTCCAAGAGAGGCATTCCAGAAGTTCATCCCCAAGCAAATCGCAGGGCTGAAATACAACAAAGACTTAGCTAAAAAAAGAAACCTCACATCTGTAAAAATAAAAATTAAATTCCAAAATATTGAGCAATTCAAAACACTTTCATTTCACAAAATTTGCCCTTTACTTGGCTACTTATTATTCATGAATGCCTTACTTTGTTTGAATCAATTATAAGTTTAGAAATCTATTGCTACGTGAAAATACTCTAATTTACAATTTTTTAGAAAATAATATTTGAGTATTTTAGTAGCCATTTCTAATATATCTGAAATGTAAGTATTCCATAATCTGATTAAAAAGATAACTTTTCACTCAATAAATCATGCTGGGAACACTGGACAGCTACATGAAAAAGAATGAAACTGGATTACTTTCTTACACCATACACAAAAATAAACTCAAAATAAAATAAAGACCTAAACGTAAGACTTGAAACCACAAAACGCCTAGAAGAAAACATAGGCAGTAATTTCTTTGATATTGGCCTTAGCAATATTTTTTTAGGTATTTTTCTTGAGGCAAAGGAAACAAAAGAAATAAACTACTGAGACTACATCAAAACAAAAAGCTTCTGCATAGCAAAGGAAACCATCAACAAATGAAAATGCAACCTACTGAATGGAAGATGTTTGCAAATAACATAATGATATACCTGATAAGGGGTTAATATCCAAAACATATAAAGAATCTATATAGCTTAACACCAAAAAAACCCAAATAATACAATCAAAAAGCAAACAGAGGACGTGAATAGACATTTTTCAAACGAAGATATATAGAGATGGCCAACGGACACATGAAAAGATGCTCAACGTTACTAATTATCAGGGAAATGCAAATCAAAATCACAATGAGATATTACCTTGCACCTGTCAGAATGGCTAGAATCAAAAGGACAAGAAATAATAAGTGTTGGTAAGGATGTGGAGAAAAAGGAACCCTTGTATGCTACTGGTAGGAATGTAAATTGGTGCAGCCATTGAGAAAACAGTATGAATGTTCCTCAACAATTAAAAATAGAATTACTGTATGATCAAGTAATTCCGCTACTGGGTATTTACCCAAAACAAAAAGACTAATTTAAAAAAATATATGCACTCCTACGTTTATTGCAGCATTATTTATAATAGCCAAGATATGGAAATAACCCAAATGTCCATTAATAGATAAATGGATAAAAAAGATGTGGTAAATACAAAGGGTTATTATTCAGCCATAAAAAAGAAAAGATCTTGCCATTTGTGATAACATAGATAGACCTACATGGTATCGTGCTAGGAAAAATAAATCAGACAGAGAAAGACAAATACCACGTGATTTCACTTACGTGTGAAATCTAAAAAACAAAACAAATGGATAAACAAACAAAAAGCAGAATCAGACTCATAAATACAGAGAACAAACTGATGGTTGCCAGCGGAATGGGCAAAACAGGTGAAGGAGAGAGAGTGGGATATACAGGCTCCCAGTTATGGAATGAGTAAATCACAGGGAAAATGGGTACAATGGTATTGTAATTGCCTTGGAAGATGTACCTACACTTATGAACATAGCATAACATACGAAATTGTTGAATCACTATACCATACACTTGAAACTAATGTAACATTGTATGTCAACAAGAGTTCAATAAAAAATAAGTGTTAAAAAAGGGTAACTTTTTAGAAATCTGTTACTTGAAACAAGATGACACTTGTAGTACTGTTAGAATAAAATAATGAAAAAATATATATATAAGGTTTTAATATATCAAACTTTTACTGTGTTGTATCATTTAAAACTTGGGATTATTTGTTCCCACAGTTAACATCCCCTGATAAACACATAGAGAAAAAAAAAAAATCTGGGTAAAGAGAGCCAGCAAGCAGTTAAAGATAATAAATTATTTGCTTGCAAGAATAGCCAGGGCTAGACAAAAATCTTGGAATCATCTAAATAGAGATGACAATAAAAAGCATGTGAACAGGTTGTCAAGCAGACAGAATAGAGAAAATCAGAGGATTAAGATATCCTTGGTGAGGGTGTATCTTTCCAGGATGGGAGAAAGGGCAGATGTTTGGGGAAGAACAAGAGCCAGGCTCTGAGGGCCTCAGAGGGATGGGGTGATCAATAGGAAGAAAAGCAGCAAATGCCCAGGAGGAAAAAGACTGTAAAAAGGACAAGAGATGTGTTAATTAGATCCCTCAGGACCTTCAATCTGCAGAAGTAAAGGGAGCAGAAATAGCAAATATCTGTCTTTAGAAAATGATCAGGCACCAGTAATTCCAATACAATTCCATCATGCAAATATTGTGAAACATATATGTGATACTTTAGTTGTGATGTTGGTCTGAGGTGTTAAAGTCTCATACATCCCTCCTTTAATCTTCATTTTAAACAGAGACAAAGACACATTCCAGAAGAAGAAATGACAGACTCTAAAGAGCAAAAGAGGAAGGAACAGCATTCCACCATAATTCACAGGAGTACAAAACTTACTTTTGGATGCATATTATTTTCTTTAATTAAAATTTCTGGTTCTGAAAGAAAACTGATCAGCTCTTTTACTTTCTGTGAAGAGTCCTCAGGAAAATCTTCATCTACTAGTTTGTTCTCCTCAAAATATGTCATGTCCAAAATGGCCTGCAGTAAAACAAACAAAAGTATCCATTAATGATTGAAATGTGAATAACTTACATTTTAACCTTACACATACAGATGCTTTATTAGACAATTAAATTTGAAAAGTGGGAAAAATGTCTAGCTGTACACATAGTCTCTGATGGGCTTCATAGGAAACCTCATAGGTATTTTAGTAAAATATTGAATTAATGATAATCTTGCTTCTCTCAAAAAAAGTAAATAAAGAAGACTTTAAGCTAATCGTATATGACATTAATTACGAAAAATATATTATGTTCCTTGCAATTTACACATATATACTTCTTGAACATTTTCTAAATGCCTGCTATATCAATTTAAGATTACTACCTCTAGTTTTATATATTGAATCTTCAAATAGTTTATTTGTTTCTTCAAATGCAGACCTAGCATTTGGGGAATATGTATTCTGCCACCCAATAAAGGCAGTATATAGCCAACATTATGCAATTTAAACACTAAATCCCTAGCATTCCTAAATATAAGATGCTCTGTTCAAGTACCTCAAAACTACACAACCTTTTCTCTCTTTTTTTTTAATCTACTGGACTAAGACTAAGGAAACTGAGTTCTTCCACTAATCACCCAACTAACCAAGGACAGTCAATTTTATTGGTAAAATAAAGAAACTGCTTTTCAAAGTTCCTTGCTTTGAGGATAGAATGAATTAACATATGTACAACACACAAAATATTAATTATACAGGGCTACTTAAGTGCTAAGTGTTCTTGTGTTGAAGGCCTAAGTCAGGAAGAGCAAATCATTATCCTACGGATAGTAACTTTGATTCAGAACCATAATTAGGGTCTAAGGGGGCCTGGGGAATTCAAATCTGTATCTCTAGGTCTTTCATCTTATCTTTAGAAATAAATTCAAATGTTTAGAGGGTAGAAGTTAATTAAGATGGAGGGATGGGGGAAGCTTCCTTCTTCCCTTGAACACAGCTAGATAAATATCCAGTCATTCTGAACACCCAAGAAATCAACTGACTGAAAAAATAACACTACAAGTAAAATTGTGGAGGGTAGAATCTGCAGAGAGTTGATTTGGGGGGAGATAAGAACTGAGGGTGCTCCAGAGGAGAGGGAGCCCTGCTAAAAAAAAGACTACTGCAAAGTATTATAAGGAGTGGAGTGCAACAAGTTTTAGAAGTCCACCACTACCAAGGTCGTGCCTGGCTTAGCAGTATTCCCGTGGGGAAGGAGGGTGGAGACCCTGCAGAAGACAGTGTGGTCTGAGGATTCTCTGGTTGCTGGGGGAGAAATAGATCCCCTGCTTGGAGTGCACTTGGGAGTGGAAGCAAGGCCTTCTAGGGGACAGAAGAAAGGGTGGTGCTAACGTGCTATACGATTCCCAGGCATAGGAGCAGGGACACTGACTGAGGACAGCGAGTCTTGACGCCAGTTTTCTGTTCCACTTTGCTATGAACTCAAAACCACTGTGCGGTCCTGCAAACACTTTCCTGGGACAGTTGGCAAGGGGCAACAGCTTGGCGAGACCCTCCCCCAGAGGATCAGCACAGGGCCCTACTGTACAAGTCCCTAAAATTCGGAGTTTAGAAATCAAGCCACACACCTGAGATAAAACAGCTCAGACACAGACAGCATGAAGACAGGGATTTGATGAAAGCCAGGGACACAAGAGAAGTGATTTTCTGTGAGGACTACATGAAAAGTGGCAGGCACAAGCTCCCTGCCTTGAGGATGGGAGAGCCAGGCGAAGCCATTTTGCACTCCCCCACCCCCCCTCCCCGCCGCCCATCAGTACTGAGCAACCTCAGTGAGCTAAAGAGCACCACCAAGTGGAGAGCGGGTGCTTACACTAAGCCCTGCCCCCTGCACCTTGCATATGCATCTCTACATGGGCAAGTAGTGAGAACCAGTGCAACAAACATACTGGGTCACAAATCAGCCCTCAACAAACACAAAAAGATCTAGATCATTCCATGCATATTTTCAAACCACAAAGCTATGAAACCTGAAGTCAACCACAAGAAAATATTTGGAAAGACCATAGATACATGGAGGTTAAAGAACATCCTACTGAAGAATGAATGGGTAAATCAGAAAATTAAAGAAGAAATAAAGAAGTACATGGAAGCAAATGAAAATATAAACATGACAGTCCAAAACCTTTGGGACGCAGCAAAGGCAGTCCTAAGAGGGAAGTATATTCAATACAGGCCTATCTCAAGAAGCAAGAAAAGTCTCAAAGACACAACCTAACCTTACATGTAAAGAAGCTAAAAAAGAACAGAAAATAAAGCCTAAAGCCAGCAGAAGAAGGGAAATAATAAAGACTAGAGCAGAAATAAATGAAGTAGAAACAAACAAACAAAACCCAGCAGAACAGATCAACGAAACTAAGAGCTGATTCTTTGAATGTATTAATAAAATTGATAACCCCCTAGCCAGACTTATCAAAAAGAAAAGAGAAAGAACCTAGATAAATAAAATCAGGAATGAAAGAGGAGAGATCATAACCAACACCACAGAAATACAAATAACCGTAAGAGAGTATTAGGAAAAATTATGTGAATCAACTCGGTAATCTGGAAGAAATGGACACATTCCTAGAAACATAAAAACTACCAAAACTGAAACAGGAAGAAATAGAAAATTTGAACAAACCCATAACCAGCAAAGAAATTGATCAGTAATAAAAAATCTCCTGGGGCACATGGATTGCTCAGTTGTTTAAGCATCGGACTCTTGATTTCAGCTCTGTCATGATCTCATGGTTTGTGGGTTCAAGCCCCACGCTGACAGAGCGGATCCTATGTGAGATTCTGTCTGTCCATCCCCTGCTAGCTCTCTCTCTCAAAATAAATAAATAAACTTAAAAAAAAAAATAATCTCCCAACAGGGGCGCTGGGTGGCTCAGTCTGTTGAGCGTCCAACTCTTGATTTCACCTCAGGTCATGATCCCAGGGTTGTGGGATTGAGCCCCATGTCGGACTCCACACTGAACATCATGAACATCAAGCTTGCTTAAGATTCTCCCTCTCTCTCTCTCTCTCTCCCCCCCCACCCTGCCCGTGTCAACCATCCATGCTCTCGAAAGGAAGGAAGGAAGGAAGGAAGGAAGGAAGGAAGGAAGGAAGGAAAGAAGGAAGGATCTCCCAATAAAAGTACAGGGCCAGATGGCTTCCCAGAGGAATTGTACCAGATATTTAAAGAGTTACTACCTATTCTTCTTAACCTGTTCCAACAACTAGCAATGGAAGGAAAAGTTCCAAACTCCTTCTATGCAGCTAGCATTACCTTGACTCCAAAGCCAGACAAAGACCCAATAAAAAGGAAAATTACAGGTCAATATCCCTGATAAGCATGGATGCAAAAATTCTCAATAAGATACTAGCAAATAGAATTCAACAGTACATGAAAAGAATTATTCACCACAATAAAGTGGGATTTATTCCTGGGCTACAGAGCTTGTTTGGTATCCGCAAATCATTCAATATGATACGCCACATTAATAAAAGAAAGGATAAAAACTGTATGATCCCTCTTAATAGATGCAGAAAAGCATTTGACAAAATACAGCATCCATTCTTGATAAAAACCCTCAACAAGTAGGAATAAATGGAACATACCTCAACATCATAAAGGCCATATACAAAAGACTCACAGCTAATATCATCCTCAAATGGGGGAAAACTGAGAGCTTTTCCTGTATGGTCAGGAACAAGACAGATGCCCACTGTCACCATTACTATTTGTCATAATACTGGAAGTCTTAGCCTCAGCAATCAGACAACAAAAAGAAATAAAAGGCATCCAAATCGGCAAGGAAGAAGTCAAACTTTCACTATTTACAGACAGCATGTTACTCTATGTAGAAAACCCAAAGATTCCACCAAAATATTGCTAGAATACATGAATTCAGCAAAGTCTCAGGATATAAAGTCAATGTACAGAAATCTGTTGCATTTCTATATACCAATAATGAAGCAGCAGAAAGAAAAGTCAAGGAATCAATCCCATTTACAAATGCACCAAAAATCGTAAGATACCTAGGAACAAACCTAACCAGTAAAACCGTGTAACAGTAAAACCGTGTAACACTTACGAAGGAAATTGAAGAGGACCCTCCCCCCCCACTGCAAAAAGGAAAATATTCCATGTTCATGGATTGGAAGAACACTGTTAAAATGTCCATACTACCCAAAGCAATGTACACATTTAATGCAATCTCTATCAAAATACCATTAGCATTTTTCACAGAGCTAGAACAATCCTAAAATTTGTATGGAACGACAAAAGACTCCAAATGGCCAAAGCAATCATAAAAAAGAAAAGCAAAGCTGGAAGCATCATAGTTCCGGACTTTAAGCTATATTACAAAACTGTAGTCATCAAGACAGTATGGTACTGGCACAAAAACAGACACACAGATCAATGGAACAGAACAGAAAGTCCAGAAATGGATCTATAACTACATGGTCAAGTAATCCTCAACAAAGAAGGAAAGAATACCTGATGGAAAAAAGGCAGACTCTTCAACAAAAATGTTGGGAAAACTGGACAGCAACATGTAGAAAATTGAATTTGCACTCCTTTCTGAGACCATATGCAAAAATTCAAATTTATAAAAGACCTAAATATGAGAGAGGAAACCATCAAAATTCTAGAGGAGAACACAGGCAGCAACCTCTCTGACCTAGGCTGGAGCAATTTCTTACCAGACACATCACTGAGGGCAACGAAAACAAGACAAAATAAATTAGTAGTTCATTAAGATAAAAAGCTTCTGCACAGGAAAGGAAATAGTCAACAAAACTAAAAGGCAGCCTATATAACAGGAGAAGATATTTGCAAATGGCATATCTGATAACAGGTTAGTACTCACAATATATAAAGAACTTATCAAACTCAACACCCAAAAAACAAATAATCCAGTGAAGAAATGGGCAAAAGACATGAACATATTTTCACAGAAGACATACAGATGGCTAACAGACACATGAAAAGATGCTCTTCATCACTCATCATTAGGGAAATATCAATCAAAATCATGATAAGATACCAAATTAATAATACAAGAAACAACAGGTATTGGCAGGGATACGGAGAAAGGGGAACGCTCTTACCCTGTTGGTAGGAATGCAAACTGGTGTAGCCACTCTGGAAAACAGTTCGGAGGTCCCTCAAAAAATTAAAGCTAGAACTACCCCACGATCCAGCAATTGCACTACTAGGTATTTACCCAAAGGATACAAAAATATAGAATCAAAGAGGCACATGCTCCCCAATATTTATAGCAGCATTATCAACTATACCCAAAGTATGGAAAGAGCCCAAATGTCCATCAACTGAGAATGGATAAAGAAGATGTGGTGTGTGTCTGTGTGTGTGTGTGTGTGTACACGTGTGTGTACATGGAATATTACTCGGTGATCAAAAAGAATGAAATCTTGCTATTTGCAACAACATGGATGGAACTAAAGTATATTATGCTAAGCAAAATAGGTCAGCCAGAGAAAGAATAACACCATATGATTTTACTCATATGTGGAATTAAGAAACAAAAGAGATGAACATAGGGGAGGTGGGGAAACACCGAAAACAGAAAGGGTAACAACGCACAGGAGGCTGTGAAAGAGAACAAACAGGGTTGATGGAGGGAGATGAGTGGGGGATGGGCTAGATGGGTGATGGGTATTCAGGAGGTCACTTGTTATGATGAGTACTGGGTGTTGTAAGGGATGAATCACTGAATTCTACTCCTGAAACCAGTTATTACACTGTATGTGAAGTAACTAGAATTTAAATAAAAATCTGAAGAGAAAAAAAATGTTTACAACTCTCTCACTGAAAGAAATGAAACAAGCAGGGAGTCTTCCAAAGGGAAAGAAAGCCAGGCAGAGCTCTGCCAAGTAACAGCAGCCCTTTGCGTTTTATGAGTAGTTGTTATAGGTTCAGTCAACCATGATATCTGAAGGCGGAAACCAGCTTTATGTACCTCCCAATAAGAAGTAGAGTGCCAGGCCCCTAAATGCTATACATGTGTACTTTGAAAGCTTAACTATGTTTACTCTACGCTTCATAACCACTTCGTCTTCATTATCAAGTAAAGCATATAAGGCACTCTGTCAACCATAAAGTGCTATAAGAACGTTAGTTACTATAATGAAATTATGTTTCTTAATGTCAACTTGCCTCAGCAGTGTTTGAGAAAACCAAACTAGGTCTTCCCCATACAGAGACCTGAATTTGAAAGGAAAGTAAAAAAAAAAAAAAAAAAAAGCAGCAGGGGGGAGACTGGGGTGCAGAAAAATTTTTTACAGTTGCATGACAATAGCAGGAGAGTCATGTGGAGGATCCCAAAAAAAGATGAATTTCAGGGAAAAAAAATAATCAGGGACCTTACAGAGACCTTTATTCCCTCTGAATAACTTTCAAAAGCTTGGAAATTGCATGTACTAGTGTTTTGCTCAATGAAATATAAAGGGAAGCAATTCTGCTATCTACAAGATTTTTTTCCTTAACAATACATTAAATAATAAATCTTCTTTCTATAGTTTCAAAGTTTCAAGTCTATATGTTTTATACATAAAGGGGTTTTTCTGACCAAAATTAAACACTTTATTTTTTTTTTTTAGGTTTATTTAATTTTGAGAGTGAGGGCGAGCAAGCATAAGCATGCGAGTGGGGGTGGGGCAGATAAAGAGGGACAGAGAGAGAATCCAAGGCAGGCTCCCCACTGTCAGCATAGAGCCCCATGTGGGGCTCAATCCCACAAAATGTGAGATCGTGACCTGAGCTGAAACCAAGAATTGTACCCTTAACCAACTAAGCCACCCAGGTGCCCTAACACTTTTTTTTTTTTTTTTTTAAGATTTTATTTTTAAGCAATCTGTACACCCAATGTGGGGCTCAAACTTACAACTTCAAGATTAGGGGTTGCATGCTCTACCAACTGAGCCAGCCAGGTGCCCCCAAAATCAAACACTTTAAATAGAGAATAAATTGGTTTCACTACACCTAAACTTTGGGGTCAGAGTCAATCATCTTATATAGGCAATCTGTCCCCATATCATATCAGAAACCATATCTGTTTCAGTACCTGTGTGTAAAGTTCTAGAAGATTTGATGGGTTTGAACATTCTTTGTCTTCTCCACACAGAAGTTTCAATTTTTCTAGAGCTGCAGAAGCCCGAATTAAAAAGTGATCTGTAAGAGACAAAAACATGAATTTCATATAGTTTCAAGGTGTTCTTTAAACAAAAAAAAATGGTGTATCTGAAATCATATTATGTTACAGCATGAAGACGCAGCATGGTAGTAATATCTTATGTAAACAATGAAGTACATCATAATGCCTAATCCTACTTAAATTCATCACAGTAATTTATTCTCAATAGCTAGACTGAACTTCTCCAGGTTCAGTTGCCATTTCTTAAATGCAATTTGTATGTTCATTTTCATAGTGCTGCTTTTATGATGTTGACATACTCAAAATATTTAAATAATAAATTGAAAACTTGTATTCGAATAGTACAAACAATATACATAAATCTACAGAAAGGGCTTCCACTAAAAACTTATAATTTCATAAATGTATTTCCTAAAAGAACATGACTGATTAAATCAAGTGCGCCAAAAATGTAAGCTCTGAGCAATTTTAACTTTATCCTGTTTATGTATTTATGTATGTAAATAGCTGTTATAATCAAAATTACATAATCTAAAAAATTACATAATCCATCTGCATATTTTATTCCTTTAAAAACCTGTAAGTGGAACAAATTACCTAATTCTTTCAAAGAAAGTATTCTAATATGCCCTCTAAAAACAATTCACCCTCTCTCCCCTCTACATTGTCTAATTTCTTTTTTTTTAATTTTTTTTAAGTTTCCTTATTTATTTTGAGAGAGAGGGATAGCGCAAGTGGGGGAGAGGCAGAGAGAGGGAGACAGAGAATCCCAAGCAGGCTCCACACTGTCAGCTTGGAGCCCAATGAGGGGCTCGAACTCAAACCATGAGATTATGACCCGAGCAGAAACCAAGAGTCGGATGCTTAACCAACTGAGCCACCCAGGCGCCCCTATGTTGTCTAATTTCTTCCCTGTCTCCAGTATCATATTCCCTTTGTTTTCATGGTTTCACTTTTTTCTTATAGATTTTTCCTCCCTAACCTGCCTAGTGTCCATACCAAGGTGCTATTTATCTACCCTTCTGCACCATCTCATGTAGTCAAATTTAGACATGCCTACCATCAAGACTTCAAAGTCCCTGAATTTGCCCTTTCTGTGCTTCCCTTCAGAAATATGTATCCTTTCCAACACTAGCCGACAGACAGAAAATGTGGAACTTACTGCAGGCCCATCTGATCCAGCTTTAGCACTTATACAAATAGTAAGTTGTTTAGTATTGGAGTGAAAGCAACACCAGCTTCATTATGTCTGTTGGCAACCATACGATGACCTTAAGTTTTTCCAAGTGAGGACTAGCCTGTATCTAAACCAGATTCTGATTGATTTAAGATCCACTATTTTTTTGCTTTGAAAGCTACTTCTTTAGCACTGCTTTCCAATCTCTCAGCCCAGAAGTAGCATCTCCCAACCTGGGGGGAAAAAAAATTCCACTGTGAATGGAACATGGCACTCTATATGTGCTTTAGAAACTGAGTTGACATTTTCTTCTTAATTTGCAAGATTATTTTAAATGTAAAGACTTGTACTGAATTCACTAAACCATTGCTGAAGGAGTATCTCACATGAATTCCTGAGTACAGGGGAGAGGGGATAATGGCTCACATTTTAGCAAACTTTTATAAAATATAACATCTTTACTAGAACCATTCAAAGTGACAACTGTCAAGGCAAAGACAAGTGACTCTTACATAACCTCTGGAAAAAGTCCCTCTCATGGCATATTTCTATATACTGAACATATTGTGCTTGTACAATGAGAAATAAAGAACAAAAATTGACCAGAAATAAAAAGGAGAGCAATCTTAGAATAATGTCTAGTTGCATCTCATCTCATTTGAAGTAGAAAACAGAAAACTATCAATTCCTATAATGTAATACAAATATGTAGCTGTTACAGGAAAGGACACATTTTGAGTGAATATTATTTTTGTTGTGTGGAAAAGAATGCCAAGTTCAGTTCAAACATCTGCAACCATGTTTTAATTTAACTTCATAAAATAAGAAAATGTTGCCATTAATACTCATTAATAGCTCATAACGAAGATCACTATTATTTTACTTTTAGTAAACCTTCACAACTTTAAAGTCTCCCAAAAAGGGGTGCCTGGCTATTTGTTGGGTGGAGCATATGACTCTTTATCTTGGGATTGTAAATTTGAGCTCCATGCTGGGTGCAGAGATTACTTAAAACTAAAATCTTTAAAAATTAAAAAATCAAATAATGTCTCTCAACAAGGACATACATCACTTTACTTTTTAAATTTTTTTGATGTTTATTTATTTTTGAGAGAGAGAGTGACCAGGGGAGGGAGCAGAGAGAGAAAGGGAGACAAAGGATCTGAAGCGGGCCCCTTGCTGAGAGTGGAGAGCCCAATGGAGTCTGGAAGCCACCAACCATGAGATCATGACCTGAGCCAAGGTAGGATGATTAACCAGCTGAGCCACTTCTGTGCCCCACCACTTTACTTTTACTTCCACCCCTTATTCTAGTCTGGAGTAAAGAACTCTTCCATGGAAAAATGAGAATGACTTTTGGGCTCAGTGATAAGTGAATAAAAAACATTCTTTGATCTCTTTAGTCTGGTTTAAGTGGAGCTGGTGTGGGATGAAGATCACTGTATAGCTTATTTAGAGGTAATCTGGATACACTTCCAGGTAACAGCCACTACGGTGGATAAACTATTCATGTGAATCCTGGGATTCACTTACCACAAACCAAAAAAGAAGTCAGCTTCAGGGTGGTCTGTGGATTTTGAAAAACATACTCTAAGAAAAGATAATCAAGCAAATAATCTTTATTGAACTTGAGCCATTTCATTGTGGACCCTATTCAATAAATTCACCAACAATCAATAATCTGGCAAAATGTTCCACTACTATTTTCCTATAAGTCTGATGACAATGAGTCAGACCACCAGAATTTAAAAGCCTATCTGTATTACTAAATGCTCAAAACTCAAAAATAAAATAATGTAGAACCTATAGGGAGCTGAGATGTAATAAGACAAACTTAAAAGTCGCAGTAATTCTCTAAGCCAGTCTTTCCTAAGGAAAACACTTGGACCTTTCCAAACAAGTGTTCTAACACTAACAGAGCCGTGGTGAGAACTGAGGCGATGTATAGAAAAGAATCGTCCAAACTATACGAATGCAAAGCTCTTCTGTATTGTTTACAGTTGGATTTAGAATCCAAAACAGAATACGAGAATTTATAAGGCAGCAATTAAAAAGTTTAACTGTTACACATGCCTAGCTATCTTTACTGCACCCCAATCATTACTTATCAGCGTACTATCAGTCAGCTTTAACTACTCATTTAAACTTTTGTACTTTTATCCAGATTCTACTCTTTTCCCAATCGCTATAGGCATAAAGACGAGCAGCACTGATTTGACTGACATGTAAGCGGTTTTCATGGGTTATGAAAAACGCAGTGTAGACGCAAATGCCTTGGCTTAAGGCAACGTGAGTTTCTGGAGGTGGACAATCGACGGTGCAGCGAGGGTCACAAGTGCAACACCTTCGGTAGCTCTGGCCTGGGATCTACACCGAGCACAGGCCGCAGCCTCCAGCCCGTACCGCGGTCGAGTGCCAGCTATGAACTACGGCCAGCCCGCCCGCCCCACTCTCCTCCGCTCCCTCACCATCTTCGCCGGCGGCTTCGCTAAGCTGCTGTATGTGAGCCTGAGCCAGGTCCCCGAGCTCTTCCACTCGCCTTACCACACTGGAACCTGCGGCCGCCATGGCCACGACGGGCGGGCGCGCCCCAGCCACGTGACTTTGCCGGGCCGCGGTCACCTGATTCCCCGGCTTGGGCGGGGCGTAAGGGCGGAGCTCACCCGGTTGGTGGGAGGGAACCCCAGCTCGGCAACAGGGCCGGTCCAGGCCCGTAAAGGTTGCTGCGGTTTATATTTTTTTCGTCTCCGGTTACTTCCTCTCCTTCCCACAATCCTGAGCTGTAGGGATACTTTAGGGGCTGGCATGACATCAGGGCACGCCTCTCTCCCGCCCCCTCCTCTAAACCAATCGGGAGCGGCCCACACCCTCAGGTTGGTCCAATAGGAAGCCAGCTTTCTCTGAGGGGGCGCCGGGAGGAGAGCGTGGCAGCGACTGGCTGGTGGTGGTTGACTGGCTTTGCTCTTGTGTTTCTGGCCCCTGTCCGATTTTGGTCTTCGTAGAGAGACCGTTGCCTAAAATCAAATGACCATAATCTCCTAGTCAGAAATGGTAAAGCCTGACAGCCCCCTTGTAGCACATCTAAGTCTTTGAGAGGAGAGGTTATTGTGCATCGGGGAGGGGAGCTCCCAGCGCTAGTGTGTGTTTCTAGTCTAGGTGTTGGAGTGTCGCTTTTCCAAATCTTAATTTTAGCTCCTGAGTTTGTTTTATTTCTTTCTGATCTGCTTTGGCTAGCCCGTATTAATGTACCTTAACCATCTCGCGTCCAGTGGTGCCAAAATTTTGCATTTACAAGAAGTTCTATTGCCATACACCTCAATACCCTCAAAGTGCTCATAGTGTGTGAAGTTCACCCTCATGTGTGAGTTTCAAAGTACTTCGTCAACAAGTCTAATTTCTACTTTGCATTCCCTATATTCTTACCTCTTATCAAATCTTAACTCAAGTTTTTTTCAGTTTGACACAGCACATCTTGAATGATCTCCATCCTATCTTACTTTTTATGAAAGATAGTTTTATATCTAATAGGAAACATTAAAAATAGGGAAATAGTGTGTTGTAATTTATAAGCAATGGACCACAAAGGCTTCCCAGCTGACCTTTATGACAACAGTTTCTTCCTCCAAGTCACCCTAAATATAGAGGACAGACAGGAATCACGTATTAATTTTGTTTCCTCAGTGCCTTCTATAGTGCCTGGCACATTATAAGTATTCAGAAAGTGCTTATTAGTTAAACAAAAATCCCACGTTATCTTCTCATTATATTACTTTCTAATCAGGAAGCTAAAGGCCAGGAAGTCTAAAGAATCAAAATTCTAAGGGCACCTTGGTGGCTCAG